GTGAATCAGAACATAAGTTCTCGGCACACTGGCCTCGCATCAGCTGTCTTTCATAACATGCATTTATGTATAAAATTAGTGACTCAAAGTATATATCCTTGATAGTGTTATTATCCAAAAGCTCTATTTACATAACCTTTTTTCTACTGTAGTGCTCCAATCTACACTCATGTTTGCGCATCTGTGCATGTGAATAACTTTGTGATCATTTTATGCTAATTCTATTATAAATGATACACATAAAAGTCCCTATGTACAGCATGTTGATAATGTAATTACAACTTACTTTGTATTATTAGTTCCAAAGAAAATAATGTGTTAATGTTGAAAATACCTGTGCCTTGAATTCACTTATAATTTTTATCTATTGTGAAAATGAGCTTGGATTGCTCCTTCTGGTTTATCTTTATTAGGATCAGTCTTACTGTCTAGACTGCTGATGTCCTTTTAAGAGAAGTAAATCTTGCCATTCGTTAACTAAAAGAACAGTTAAACCTTTTATTGAGAATATGCCTACAATGCTTCGATTTTTTACAATGTTATGGCAGATTTACTGTGGAGAAATCAGTATTTTTTTTTCCTGTTTTCTATTTCCTGCACTCCCTCAGTGACAAAGGAGTTTGTCTTTGACTTCCTGTCCTTCATACGTAGTTTCTTGTTTTAGTCAATAGCCTCTACCACATTTCAGAACGCTCTGACTTGCCTGTCCTCAGTAGAGTTTAAAATAAGTAAGATGAAGCAATAATATGGTGTAGCACGGCAATATGCAAAATCAAGAGACTTGAATAAAATGTATTATTATTAATTTCATTTGTGTAAATGCTGGACCTGTGGGGCCATTCTCCTTTCGGTGCACCTGTAGCAATTTGGAGTCAGATTAATAGGAACTACTTGGCCATGGAAAGAGAGGTTACCTACTTAACTATTATTCATATGATACTTTCCTTTCACCTGGAATATGTTTTGATTTTTCTTTTTGCTAAGGAAAACAGCGGTTCATTGTATTCCTTGCCAGTTCCTTTATTTACTGAAACGTAAAAGGTTTGGTTCGAACAAGAGCTTAATCTTGTCTTCAAGAGCAATCTGGTACAGCACAAACGAAGCTGAACAAAAAACTGCGGACCACTTAGTGTGTGCCAGACTCAATGCAATGTTATCTGACACGTAACATTAAGGTCTTCAGATTGTGCTGACAGTAGAAAAGTGATTTTGTAATGTAGCACAAAAGCAATAACATTTACTTGTTATATTTAAATATATTTCTTGCATAATTCTTTGAAAGATTTTTTTTTTTTTAAATCCAATGTACCTAATAAACATTTGCCTTTTGAATAGTTTGCTGTGTTTTATTTAGGTCATGAGAAATGCCACGGAGGGGTTTGGTCGTACAAGGAGGAAGCTCTTTCCTGTTCTTCCTAGGTCTTTTATTTGCTGGATTCTGCACCTTTGCAGTGTCTGTATCAACCCATCATTCTTCTGTCTTCCAGTCTGGATGCTTTCATAGCTCATCTTTATGCCTTTGTCATGTAACTTACTATTGACATGAATACAGGTAGTGCAGGCAAGCTAGAGGCTGTGCGAAAAAGGAAAGAGCAAGGAAACTGGGGGAAATGACAAGATGGGATGTAAAATAGTGCTTAGTTCTGGGAATCAGGATCTGGAAAGGATACAAACGGACTCAGAGGGCAAAAGCAATAAGCGAAATCAGGATAAGGGAATGGATAATGGTAGGAAGGTGACCAGTAACACTATAGGTTGGAAAGAGACATGCAGGAAGTTTACTCTTCCCAGATTAGCTCTCCCTTGACCATCTCGAGGTGCCACTTGTAGAACGGCCGATACAGGGCTCGGACAGGGAGAGGGTGGTTCTCTTGCACTTGAACTGACATGACTGTATTTCATTCAATACCACAGTTTTACAGATCACATTCATCTTTCAGTTGTTTTCTAGTGGAATACTAGCTTGTACTCCTGGCATCCTCTTCCTCATAGGACAGTGTGGATTTCAGACTCAGAGCTTGTCCTTCACGTAACCCTAGATGTGTGTCTTGCCTTCTTCCTAAAACCCTTTGTTTTTGGCATTGTGGCAGAGTCAAACAGAGCTTCCTACTGTGATTTTTTCCCTGTGTTCCACTGAGGTCTAACTCGTGAGTCCTTTCCTTGTTTGATGTATTTTGGATTGTGGGTCCTGTATCTTTCAACATAAAACCAAAGCCCTGGGGCCTTGATACTCGATATACTCTGTATCAGAGAGATGTAGAGGAAAAAAAAAATACAAATAACTTTTTAGAAATGGTGGCAGGCACATTTTAATACAACTTAATCGACATGAAGATACTGCTTCATCTGTCTACTGGCAGAGAGGGGCCTGCTAAAGCCTTGAACTGCAGAAAATTGAAGTACTTCCACTAGCTTCAAGAGTTTTGAACCTAGCCCCACAGAGATGAGCGAATCTAAATGTACCATTGAGGCATGTAAAGATTTTTCAGATACCTTATAACATGAAACATAAAACTAACGCCAACAGTTGGACTGCAGTTTGGCAATGTAACCTGGATCATTGACCGCAATCAAGGGGCTGTTACTGTGGTGCCAAGAATAAGTTATGACCGAGTGCAATGTTACTGTTCCTGAAAGAAGTAATCTCACATGAAAGGAAATTCAGACTACGATGCAATGGAAATACACTGAGGAATGGGATCCTGTCTGAATATACTTAAAATGTTAAAAATGGACCTATTTCTGTTCCTCTCTCCATTAAGCAGAGAAAAGGAAGAAAATAAATAAAAAACTAAATTATTTTCCTGATGAAAATGATACAAATTTGGGTACAAGAACTATCTCAATGGATTGTATTTGTTGCCTGACAGAAAGCCTTTCTAGCAGTGGTCCTGAAACCAGAAAAGGGGGATTTTAAGGTTGGCTCCCTGCACATTGAGCACGCATACACTTGTTTACAATTTGTGGCCTCATAAGAAGTTAGAAAATACATGTAAGAGTTGGCCGTTATCTCATGCTCTTTAGCAGCATGAGTTTAGCATGAGACTACGGCGGCGGAGCGAAGGGCTGCTTGTTGTTCAGGACATCTGACAGCGGTGTTAGGATCTGGTTAAGAAAAAAAAGAAGTGACATTAAATCCATTAGTTTAGTGGGGCAACTGTAGCTGTGATTTGACACGCTGTGAAACACCATGAGCTGTAAAGGTAGGACGTTTGGGAGCGGGGGCGCAGCGA